TTTATTTCAAGCTGGAATAGCAGGTTCTTTTATATATTTTTCAGATACAAAAATTATTATAGTATTACTAGTTAATATATCTAATATACAAGATATAATTAAAGTACTATAGTATAAATAATTATGAATGAATTACATCAAAGTATGTTAAAAGATATCAAAGAATGTTAAAGAATGTCAAAGTATGTGAAAGGATGTTAAAAGACATAGAAAGACATGAGAAGATGTGGAAAAATATGAGAAGATGTGAAAAGACATGAGAAGATGTGAAAGAACATTGAAGAATATCAAAGGATGAGGAAAGATGTTTGAGATCATCATCCAAGTGTAACTGTTCTATCAAAATTAAAAATAATCTTCCACTATACTATTCTATTATGTACATGAATATCATATTGGAATAACCTAATTGCTGCCGGTAAATGAGTTCGTACCAAGGTACTCAATAGTAAGTTTTTGAGTAGTAATTATCTGACTTTTAAGAGCTGAGATTTCTTCTGTTGCTTTAACTGATTTTTCTTTATAATCCGACAGTTCTAATTTTAGTCTTTCATTTTCTTTCTTTCATTTTCTTCTTTCATTGCCTCGAAATCAGCCTTTTTGCGGTCTCGTTGGCGTTTTGCTAAAATAAATACATAACAAGAAAGAAATTTTAAGTTGTATTAAAAAATCAGCATACATGCTTCTGCATCCTTTGAGCGAGAAAGTGGCATTTCTTTTTTTATTGTAAGAACTTAAGAAAGGTCAGCTCTAGAGTTTTTGTCGTGCACAAATGTCTTGTTCTGGTAATATATTATAATAGCACCATCAAACAATCACTATAAGTACAGTCAACTCTTTCTATAATGAACTGGTGGTTCTGCTAAAAAAAGGTTCGTTATATAAAATTACTATATTTCTAATAGAGCCCGCTATGCTTTTATAACAAACTAATATAAATTTAAAATTTTCAAGTTCGTTATGAAGAGGTTCGTAATATCCAGAATTACTGTATACAAGTATTATTTTCAAACAAAAAGAAAATTCTTTAATGATGAACATAGTGAGAAAGAACTATTTATGTTAAAAAAATACTACATAGCGATTTTTCGTCGGTAATATGTCGCCTTGTGCTATATACATTCAAGATACACAATACACAACCTTTTTATCCATTATGATTGGAATAAACGATAATACATGTATCGGTGATTTTATATCCAGTAACCAGAACTACATGTATTAGCTTTCTAGAACATAAGACGAGAAATAAATGTAATCTTAAAGAATAATTTGTACGTATTTATAAAACTTCCGAGATACTCTACATTTACACCATGTTAATGTGACATTTAATTTCTATTAGATTCTCGCAAGACATTTTGTTCAATAATAAATGCATAAATTTTTCATTCAACACTTTCCTTTTTAGAATTTATTGTTCATTGTCATGTTTCCTTATATAGTATAGCTTATTTCATTGTCACTTTATTACGCATTTAGAGTTCAAAAAGAATCTTTTTTATCAGGTATTGATACTAATTTTATGAGTACGATATTGTCTGCTTTCACAAAATAATCACAGCGATATAGAGAATATTTCCTTTATAATTCAGGGTTGGCCCTTGGACAATTTTGGACAGTTTGGACAAAAATTTATTAATAATTTAATTATGTAGATATTTGGATAACAAAACACAAACATAAAACATAAATAATCATTTTTTAAATAAATCATTTGAAAAGTACATCCTTAACACTAATTAAATCCTCTAATTGACTTTCAAAAGTGGTCTGTTAATATTTTGTGACGAATATAAAGAAAAATAGAAAAATCAATGCAAATACTTATCTTCGAATTCTAGGGTCTCATCTTTTACCATTTCACAATGCACTTCATACATTAATGGGAGGAACTGTCCAGCGAATTCCCCTGACCTTAACCCTAAAAAAATATTTGGAAGCTGCTAAAGGATAATATCCAGAAGCACGAAAGCTTCTTAAGAACTGTTCAAGGCTGCTTTGAAAAGGAATGGTCGAAATTTGATGTCGATATTCTTAAGGAGGTTATTGGCTTAATACAAAGAAGAATTAACGCGGTATTGGAGGCAAAAGGAGCATGCATACGTAATTTGGCGTATCTTGTATAAATGCAAAATTTGCATAACTGTACATGTATAAGTAATTTGGCGTGTCTTGTATAAATGCAAAATTTGCATAAATAACGTTTTTTATTCGTTTTCCCGTTTACGACATAATTTAATTTTCGAAATATGGGTAACCGAATTTTTTATTAATATTGATGCATTTAATTATTGATTATTAAATAATAAGAGATTCAAAATTTTTGCATTGATAAAGGAAATAAAGAAACTACTATTGTTCATGCTCCATTACCGTCTACTAGCACTAGAGCCAGTACTATTAATAAGACAATACAATCAATTGTAAACATCATTAAACCCGCTTGGTTAAGTATTCTTTTGGTTTTCATCCCACTTGGAATTATTTCTTATTATTTGCATTGGGGTGATGCTTCGACTTTTTCATTGAATTTTTTGGCCATTATTCCTCTTGCAAAACTTTTGGGAACGGTCACAGAAGATATTGCATTGAGAATTAGTCAAGTATGAATTTAACTTCCGAGACTGAACTTTAATAATATTAATTACAATTAATGAATAATATTTATTTTAATTTAGAAGATTGGTGGTCTTTTGAAAGCAACATTTGAAAATGCTGTCGAATTGATTGTTTCAATTAGCGCCATTCGTCAAGGCCTAATACGAGTCGTTCAAGCGTCAATATTGGGTTCAATTATCTCAAATCTGCTGTTAGTATTAGGAATGTTTTTCTTAGTAGTCGGATATCACGTAAAAGAATACAATTTCAACCAGACGGCAGCTCAAACTCGCGCAAGTTTGATGACACTAGCGTGTATTGCATTAATTATTCCCACTGCATTACATGCAAATGCTGACAAAAATGAAATTACACAGGGAATTCTCAATTTGAGTCATGGAACGGCGGTAGTTTTGCTTATTGTTTATGCATTTTACTTATATTTTCAAGTAATTATTCTTTTAATGATTACATAGGAAAATAATCTTTATAATTGAAAAGTTAAAACAATTGATAATTTTTTATAGTTGAAAACTCATAAGTATCTACATAATGAAATCCACGAAGACGCAGAGCTAGAGGAGCTAGAGGAGCGAGAAGAACCGCAACTTTCATTATCAATATCAGTTGCATTGTCAGCAGTTATCACAGTTGCAATCGCATTCTGTGGCGAATTCCTTGTTAGTTCGATCGAAGGCATCAGCGAAACTTCGGGTTTGAGTAAGACCTTTGTTGGTCTTATTCTAATACCGATAGTTAGTAATGTAGCTAATGCAGCAGAGGTAATAATATACAGAATATTTTAGGATTTTTTTCAATTTCATTAATTTTGATATATTTTGTTTAAAGCATATGGCTGCCGTTTCCGAGGCAAAAGGCGATATGGATCTGATCATTGGCGCTGCGGTCGGAAGTTCTATAGTACGTATATTGAAATTTCAACGACTATTTAACAAGATTTAATATCTAAGTTTATTATTGTTATAGCAAATTGCACTTTTCGTTGCGCCTTTTTTGGTAATCTTTGGATGGATGATTAACAGACCGATGTCATTTTTTTTTGGAGTTTTTGAAATAATTATTTTATTTATTTCAGTTTTGTTGACGGGTTACCTTATTCAGGTATTTGGTTACTTAAAATCCGAACTTACTATAATTAATATGTATTAATTTTATTATAATGCACTTATTGATTCAATTAAAGAACGGAAAGTCCAACTGGTTGGCAGGTGTAATGTTACTTGCCACGTACACGATTATTGCCCTTGCTTTTTTCTTTTATCCCGACTAGGAATGCTAACGACACAACTTAACTTGCATCGACTTACCGACTGATAATCAATCATATGAGCTATTAAATTTACTTGGATAACTTTATGTATACATTCATACTCTATCATGTTATAATTACATGTACAGTATATACATTCAAGTTATTTGGTTTAAATTCTTAAATTCTCCCTGGCCGGCTGGGAGTTTAGGTCTATCTTATTTATCATTATCAGAATAATAGCCTTGGACTGCTAAATAAGAACCTTAAACCGCAATAAAAAATGTATCATTTATTCAGTAAACGCAAGGCTATTTATTCATATATTTTAATATCGGGTTGGATACAGATTTTTCGGTAATTTAATCAATTGCTTGTTGTCGATTATTCTTCACTAGATTAATGATCATGGTCTACCGCGTCGGACAGTAACTATAGTTAAGCCAAACTCTTTACATTCATGTGTGATGTTATAATTGTTAATCTTATGCAATTCCTTTAGCTTTTTCTTTAATTCCTTTAACATAGTAATATTATACAAAAAACTACTCCAGTAGCACCAATTTTTTACTATCACGAGATTATTCATATTTATATTAGAAAAGTTTCAGATATCATCTAGATTTTTAGGGATGAGAGGATCTAGTCAAATATCAGATTATATATATTTCTTACAGGATTCTTGTAATATAATATATCAGATAGGAAAGAGAATAATGTAACTGGAAATTAGATAATAAATGACACTTTCCTTACCAATTATAACTTGTTAATGTTTAGTGACAACTATTATTATTCTTAATATTATTCTTTGTTCTATTCTGTTAAAATATATAACAATTTAAATATAATTATGTTATTTTATTAACTTGTGATAATTTTTACTTTATTTAATAATATAATTATGTTAAGTTAATTTTAATCAAATAAATCTTATGTTATTTGTAATATTTTGATTTGCTACTATTATTAATGAGAAGTTTTTGTACTAATCTAATTAGAGAAATACAGTGTACTACAAAATTAACCAGAAATTTTAATTTTTCTATAAATATTTATTTAAATAATAATATAAAACTTAAATATATATACTTATAAATAACTTTACTTAAGATTACTTGAATACTTATTAAAATTTTTAATTAAAAATTTTTAATGATCAGAAAACTTAAAAAAATTATTAAAATTAAATTTGATTATTATTTTGTAAACTAATCTTAAGTAAATTTATTTGCTAGATTATTAAGTATATATTTTTAAAATTTTATATAATTTAAATAAATATTTATTAAATAACAAATAAAAAAAATTAAAAAAGTATTTTAAATTATTTATAATCATTTTTTTAATAAAAAATATTAATTATAAAAAATATTATTAAAATAAGCTATTAATACTTTTAAGTAAACTTATTTTCTAAATTATCATGCATATATATTTAAAATTTTATATAATTTAAATATTTATTAAATATAATTAAAAATAAAATTTCTAATTAATTTTATAATATATGGGTTAGTGCAAAAAGATTTATACCTCAGATAAATATTAATAAATTATTTTTTCAAAATAAAATTTTAATTCTGTCTTATTTA